AGAAAACACAAACCAAGTGGTCACCATGGGTGCAGGTGTAGGCAACAGGGTAAGGAAAAACACCCAAGTACCATCATGGCGAGCGGGGGGCGGGCGGGGGGATGCAGGCAACAAAGTATTGCGAATACAAGATACACCATACATATCGCAAACAACCGCCTACTCACGCAGGTCATGGGAAGCACAGCCGAGAAAACGCCAGCGGATGTCCAAAGTCCCGGCAGCCGTTTCACACACACACACACACGAAAAAGCCAACCCCTTCCTACAATCATGGATTACAACGATCACAAATACAGAGCGTTTTATCCATAACAGAGCCAACCCCTTTCCGGCACGCATGGCTTACATTTTGAAGTCGCTGTGCCCCCAAGTGCCCCGCGCATCGTCAATCTTTTTCTGCGCCACCCCGGTAGCCCTGCGAAAAACAAACAAACAAACAAAGACGATGACGTCAGTGAACCTGCGACGAGCGGATTAACGAGGAACAGCAATAATGACATCAACCAAGAGTGACGAACAAACGTAGAACAAAGGAACAATCCAAAAACCCGTGCGCGAGAACAAGAGACGTTCAAAACAAAAGGTGCAAAATAGGAACAAGAAATAGACCAGGGAATACAGGACTCCAATTGTTGTGCCCTAGCAAAGCAAGGTGCACAATCAGAACAAAAAATAGACAAGGGCAGACAGGACTCTATTTGTTGTGCCCTAGAAATGGCAATGAAGAACAACTGTACGATGAAGGCAAAACGGTGAACTGTAGGGTAAAATAAAACTTAGAAAACACAGACAACTCAACAGTTAACAAAGAACGAAACAGAAAGCAGCAAAAAAAATACATGAACCCAAAAAAAACGAAAGCACCTGTACACTTCAAGTATACGTACGTCTGGCTTAGGAAGACGAGAGGGGTAGGAGTGCCGAACATGACCACGTCGCACGAGTCGAAGTCGTTTTCGAAGGCCTCAGTCACCCTATCCCACTGCGCTGGTCCCATGAAAGCGCGGTTCTCCCAGGAGGACTTGGTTCCCTGAGCCCTGATAGCATTATTAGAAAAAAAAAGAAAAGAAAGACACACACACGAACGCGAGCGCGAGATAGAGAGGGGGCGGGGGCGGGGGCGGGAGAGACAGACAGACGGAGAGAGAGAGAGAGAGAGAGAGAGAGAGAGAGAGAGAGAGAGAGAGAGAGAGAGAGAGAGAGAGAGAGCGAAAACAAAACCAGTATCATTAGTGGTCGTCGTGAGCAAAATTTCGGACGTACGTCAAGCAAGCCTCCGGCGTTCTGACGCCAATGACCTACAAAGGCGAGTGAACAGAACAGAAGCGCAGACTGAACAATACTATAGTCATGAGCAGTACAAAATAAACCTACTGCCGTGCCATGAGCGACAACCACCGTCGTCAAGACAACCAACAGCACTCAGTCAAGAGGTAGAGAAAATAACAGAACAAAACAAAATTCTCCTCCTCTCCTGCCCCCCCCCCCCCTTGTTGTACCCACGTCCCCCCCTCCTTCTGCCACACTGCTTACCTGTGAAGGCTGCGCTCGACACGATTGTCGGTCATGAAGAACCCTACACGGGGGCTGAGCTTGCAGGCGTAGTAGGGCTTGATGCTGAGGTCGGTCACTGCAACAATAAAACAGGACCAACGAGCGCCAGCAGAAAAAGAAAAAAAAATGTGCTTCGGTAAGGCTTTCAGAAACCTGGTACAATAGCTGTTGTCCTTGTTGGTCTGTTTGTGTTGCGTGTTTGGGTCTTGGCAAGGCACACTGGTGCTTGTATTGCTTGTTTGACTTTGGCAATTGATCCCGATTAACCCTTGATACTCCTGAAACAGCCTTGGGGGCGGGGGGGGACGGGGACGGGGGGGTTGTCCGCTGCCTGCTGCGTGCGCACGGAACATTGTTCACGCTTTCTACGTGGGCGGGCGGGGGTATTTCTCTACAACAGCAGTGAAGGTCTCCGAATAAGGTGGTCATGGAGCAGCGATGACGGCCTTTATCGGGGCAGCCGCTTAAATCAGCATGTAAAACAACCTTGATTATTCCGTCTGTGAGAGCCAATTTTACCGGCCTTTTAGGGCGACCGCCTTATTTAGACCGCCTTGTGCGGGGACACCCAGTGTAACGAGTTCTATCCGAAGACCGCGAGGGACTTTCATCTCGTGCGCGCTTGCCCACAACATGCGCGGTATACACAGCGATCACGTCGCTCCATGTGTGATACACATGGAGTATGAATATACTAGGCTTCTATAATTCAGATGGAAACGTCCCAGATGGATAGTTTGTAAGTAATTTTTGCTCCACATGTACGGCGTTCCAACTATCCCGTGCTCAGTGAACATCCTCCGCGGTGTGAACTTGAGGACACATTTCTCGTGAAGCTTGTGCAAACCCCCCCCCCGCCGCCGACAACATCATTCAAGTCGCAAAAAAAAAATTGCTGCGATCTTAAGTAAGAGTTGTAAACATGCACACCGTCACAGTCCTCGTGAAAGTTGTGCCAAGAACAAAAAGAGACGATGGAATCACTCAAGAAAACGCGCATAAAAAATTCTACGATCGTATATAAGATTTGTACGGACAGCAAGTCAGTCCTGGTGGAGTTTGTGCGAAGAAAAAGAAAAGACAATAAAGTCACTCGAGAACACGCGCCACAAAATGCTACGATCGTAATAAATGTGCCACACGAACACACGGCGCTTCATGCTTTATGCATACCGTCGCAGTCCTCGTGAAGCTGATGCTGGTATTCGTTGTAGACCTGGTAGGCCAGCGTGGCCACATAGAACGCCAGGGTGGACGGGTTGTGGTGCTCCGGCTCGTCTCCTGCAGAATTTCACGCATGATGTGTGGGGTGGGGGGTGAGTGCTAAAAAAGGCAACGGTTGACTCGCGTGATTTCAAATTTGGTTTGTGCCCGAAGACAGAGGTTTTGTCTGATCGATCACGTGCCAGCATCGACGACCTGTTTTGGTGGTGTGGTACGTAAAGCGCGGAACCTGACCATCCTCTCTGGTCTAGAAACCAGTGCACTTTACGCCTGTCACTCTGTGAGTCTTTGCACACCATTCGTTCTATACAGCAGTTGCCATTGCCAGATAACCAAGCATTTTTTTTCTTCTTACTGTCACCCAACGAATCCATCTCTATCCACAGAAAACGAAACTGACCTCAGCCGCTGCCGCTGTTTGCGCTTTCGTACATAGCGCTTGCTCGGCGCGTTTCTGTTCCAGCTCCTGGTTCCGCTGCTGCAGTTGGTGGATTTAATCCTTGACCTCCCTGCGCTACTTTCAGTGTCGGTGAGCGTTGCCGCTCATGTCCGCGCCTCTTTCTCGACAGCGGCGAGGTCAAGAGTCGCGGACATGAGCGGCAACGCTCACCGACACTAAAAGGAGCGCAAGGAGGTCAAGGATTGAATCCGCCAACTGGAGCAACGGGACCAGGAACTGGAAAAGAAACGCGACGAGCAAACCATGTACGAAAGCTCAGGCAGGGGCAGCGGCTGAGGCCAGCTTCGAGTCTTAAGATAGATTAGCAATGGATTGTCCATACTGTAGAGTACCAAGCCACAGGTTTATGCCAATAGGGACAACAAGCTGCAAGAGTACAGCTCTACCCGGCAGCAATACTGTGATCGCTGTTTATTTTGAGAGCAGTGGCCCAATCGGGTACACCCGGTCCAACCACGGCCATAATCGGGTACCCCTACAAGATGCTGCTGGGAGTGACCGCATGACACTATCTGATTGGCCGACGCCCACCCCTACCCGACCTTGACCGTCTTTCCACCGGGTGCACCCGATCTTGCTACACACACCCCGGAGGGGTGCCCGGTTTTTCTTTCCCCTACCCGAAAATGGCTGGGCTGTTCGGCCAAAACCCATGCGCAAGCACACGGCACAATGCCCTGCCCTCGAATTCGAACGTTCCGACGGCGGGCGGAAGCAGACCCACCGCCGGCGGTGGAACTCTCGCTTGGGGGAAACGGCGGGCGGTCGACGCAAATGGTCGACAAGAGCTGGATAAATACCTCACTCATGAGATGCGACACACACGAGACTCATCATCTAAAACGCGACGTATTCTTTGCCTCCGCCACTTTCTCATTGGCGACAAACGATCGGCCAGAGGTGCGCGTTCGACCCGTGATCGTGTGCATGGGTAAATTTATTGGCCGAACAGCCCAGCCATTTTCGGGTAGTGCAAAGAAAAATCGGGTACCCCTCCGGGGCCCTCCGGGGCCCTCCGGGGGGTGAGTAGCCAAGATCGGGTGCACCCGGTGGAAAGACGGTCAAGGTCGGGTAGGGGCGGGCGTCGGCCAATCAGATGGTGCCATGCGGTCGCTCCCGGCAGCATCTTGTAGGGGTACCCGATTATGGCCGTGGTTCGACCGGGTGTACCCGATTTTGGCCACTGCTCATTTTTTTAATTTGTTGTCTTTACGTCAAAAATAAAAAATCAGCGCTCACAGTATTTGTGCCGTTTACTCCCAACCCGTGGTCACACAGAGGGGTCCATCTCTCTGAGGCCCCTACCCACACCTCCTGCGGTACTCTTTGCCTTGCTGAGTGGCAAAAAAAAAAAATGGGAACTCACCGAGATCGTCAGTGAACTCGTGATCATCGCAGATCATGTAGTTAGCCGCGCTCGCGAGACAGATGGCTGTGAAGGGCATGTTCCATGTCCTGAAAAAAAAACAGAGTTAAACAAGTGAGAGATTTGCTATTTCACTCCTCGCAACATCAACATTTGCTCTAGTTCCGGTTCCCCCTGGTTAAAACTCGGCGATACTGGAAACAGCAAGGAGAAGCCGCAGCAGCACGATGGAACTTGCGAGGGAGTCTATGAGAGAAACGGTGTGATGGAATGGCTTCATGGAATGGTGTTCCGTGGGAACATGTGAAACACGGAACGGAACGCAAAAACACCAAAAAGACCACAGAGTGCGCAAACGCCCCACAGCTCGTTGCATTGTCAACATAAAGAACGGCAACGACAATACCGAAATCACCGACCACCACCAGCAATAACAACAGTCACTCTCCATGACTACCGCCCCACACCTTTACCATTTGACTCACGTGCGGTAGCATTCGCGGTAAAACTCGCGCACTTCCTCCTGGTGGTTGTCCCACTCCCCCCTCTCCATCGGCTCTAGCAGGGTCAGAGACGCGTGCCACGCAGACTCGAAGTCCTCTCCGCTCTCCCTGTTTTGCGTACGCAAATGGTCGTACACGAGAAGGAGCCGTGAACAACGTGAAAATAAAATAGATTACTTAGCGAAGGAAGACTGACATAACTTGAGGTTGGGCAATGTCGCCGTGCAAGTCTCGTAAAATTAATTCCCCTGCAGAGACAACGGCAAAAAGACTCCCGAGAAAGACGTAGAAAATGTTATGCTCCAATACATATGTGTGTGTGTTTCGTCATACTAAATAGAGTATTGAGTTCAACTGTAATTTGTTCTTTGGGGCTTTGGGGCAAACATGGGACTACTCATACAACGCCCATTCGTGCCGTGTGCCCTCTCTCTCACTTGGTGCCGAAGTCCACATCTCCGTAGATCTGATCGCCCAGGTGCAGGATGCAGTCCACGTCACCGATCACCCTCGTAAGGCGCTTCCACAGCTTGATCTTCTCCGTGAGAGCATGGTTGTTGCAGCTAACCCTGTTGTTGTTGTTGTTGTTCGGGCGACGACAAGGGAAAGAAAAAGAAGGTGGTTCGATGCTGAAGAGACCGGGTGGTTGTTCGTTCGCGCACCGTAGAACAAGAAAGAAAAAGGCGGGAACTGTTGTGACCGGGGGGGGATCGGGTACTGCTGTAACTCACGTGGCGATCTTCCACGGGTCCTGAGTGGGGGTGTTATCTTGCGTAACATAGGTACTGTGCCTATCCATACCATAGTATTGGTTATGGTTATGTAATTTCCGTGTCGGAGCTACTTTTCTACCGGAAAAACTCACGTGGCGATCTTCCACTGGTCCTGATCGCGGCTGGGGCACGTGAAGCGCGCCTCGCGGACCTCTTTTTCTCCAATGGTAACCGTAACGCGAATCCTCTTGCCCGGGGCGAAGTTCTCGAGCTGGAAGGCCGTAGGCGTCTTGGGTGCGAGGTCCTGCGAGGTAGGGAGGGGGGCGCGGAGTGCGGGTGGGGGGATGGGGGGTGGGTGGGAGAACACAAGGTTGTGAAAAAAAGTTCGAAAAGGAGGTAACAACCGTTACAAGCAAGGCAACAACTACTTTTGCCAAAAACAAATCGCTGTGTGCTGCCCGGAAAATCGTGGAAAAACAGGTAGTCTCTGCTGACGCTATAGATTCATTCCTCTAGATGGAGATTGATTCATTGTGTCATACATTCGCTACAATAGACCTCCACTGCAGTTGCGCCAAGACCCGTTTTCCGCAGCCATGACATGCGTGAGTTTGGGTGATGGACGTGAAGGGTTGTTCAGGCACTGCGGCCACGCCACCAGCCGCAATGAGCGGTGAACACCATCTACCGTCAAAACACCATGGGAGCGGGTGGCAAGAGCTCCAACTTCGACGCATCGTCTACGGAGCGAGTTGGCCACAGTATCGAACACCCAGCGCTCGCCCCACCGAGGGCGCGACCACATCGATGGCGACAAACGACAACGACAACGACAACGACAACAACACCCAACCATGTTCAACGCGAAACTACCGCCACACCTTGGCAACGGTGCAGACCGATTCGTCGTCCATGAACGCCTCCATGGTGACCGTCTGCTCAGACGCCACCTCAATCAGCACCCTGTTTGCATCCCCATGACAGCAGCAGAGCAGCAGCAGCAGCAGCAGCGTTACAGGGGAGATAACAAGCACCATGCATACCACCGGCCACAGGGGTTGGGTGGGGGGGGAGGGGGGGTACTCATGTAAGCGCATGCCGTAGGTGTTAGATCTCGCATCTCTACAATGCCCGGACGGAGCGATGTGCCGTGTCTTCGCCGGTCCAGGCTACGTTTCACAAGGATAAACCAGAAGCTGGTCGCTTCCGCCGTTCGCTGTACCAGATATGCTATCGGTTGATTCGGCATCCCGGCTAACCAAACCTGCAAGGGACTTGGCGGGGTCCATTGAGTCAACAAAAGATCGCTGTCTACGACGACGCCTTCGCCACATGCACAATTCCAACAACTGAGGGTGTGTGGTACACACGTACCGCCCGCCCCCCCCCGCGCACGATATGATAAGACAGATCGTGAGGTCCCACTGGGAACCAGTTACCTATATGTTCCCGTGGGGGTGTTGTTGTTGTCGCTTGTGGTTGCTTCTTGTTGTTGCTGTCTGCGTTACTGCTGCAACGAATTGGGGGGTGAACTATTGCTATAACAACGCATCGCATCGGTCTTATACCTCTTCCGGTAAAAACGCGCCGAGGATGAGAAGCACTACGCTGATCAGAGTCGAATGTGCAAGCATACATACTCCAAGAATCTTTAGATTCCATTGGCTGTTTTGGTCCCTGGCTGGCATCACATCCTGCGGAGTGTAAGGACCTACCACACAGCAGACGCACCAGGAAAAACTACGGCAGGTGCCGCAGATTCTCCGCTGCCCTCATCAGTATCGAAAGACTTCAAACACATATATCCTTGGAGAATGATGTATATCTGGAATGAGGGGTGACCCTCTCTGTGGTCTTGCGCATCTCCTTTGTTCCCGTAGAACGGTGTTTGGTTCTTCAACACAACACCGATGTCTAGCGAGAGATGCTCCCATGTTTGCACAACAAATCACTCGGAGTTGAAAGGAGGAGGGAGACACCGCCAGATAAAACAAAACCTTCCCAACATAACATATATGAGACACACAAGACAGATACCAAACTGTCTTGTTGAGCCTGTTACCCGCAGGGGAGATGTCCCTATATGCTGTCTGGGAAATCGTAGACATACAGGTACTTTCTGACGCTATGAATCCATTGCTAATCTGTCTCAGACTCTTTTCTATGATAGAGATGGTTTCGTTGTGTCATATTAAGAAAAATAAAAAAATAAAAAACCCCAACAATTTAGCGGGCTTTCTTTGTGTCTTGAACATGCGATGGGTGCGCAATCCTACCGCGTAGTCGCTCGATAAAATCTGCTGTGCCTTTACTTACACTGATCGACAGGCGAAATGTGGCGCCGTGTGCACAACGTGCTCAATGAGTGGCGACGTTTCATTGGCCAGTCCGCGTGAGAGCGTCAGAGGCCGGCATGAGCGGGACAATAAAACAAGCAGATGGCAGATGACCCAAATAAACACCGCAGTGTGAAACAATACACCAACATGTATTCCATCATGGGCGTGGTCGGTTGTTGCACTTGAAGGAAAGCATAATAAAAAAAAAAGCCCACCAAGCTGCTGCTGTCCTTGTAGATAGAGCCTGTTGCTCACTGGAGTGGAGATATCGCAAGGGTGCTGCTAGGGGGATCGTAGAAACAGCAAGGAAGTGCTTCCGCCAACGCAATGGACTCAATCCTTCATTGTCTACTTCATCCTGGAATCTCTGATGTGGATGGACAGATTACTATGTAATCGGAAAAAAAAAAACAGGGTGCTGCCCTTTCTTGCCTTCCGGTTGTTTCCGTCACAGCTCCAACGATTGGTCCGACGAGGACGACGGCTCCGGAAGTGTGCCTTTCGTCTGGAGCCAGAATCCTCCACCGCTTCTCCGCTGTGTCGCGGCCGTAGAGCTTCCAAGAGCGCAGCTGCACCCGCCCGGCGGCGCTGCCGTGCTTCTTCGACTCAAACTCAGCCATGCTTCCTTTGGATCGTTATGATGTGAAGTACAAAGTAGAGCGCGGAAAGGCGACGACAGAGGGAAGAGCGGAGAAAATAGTTCACGAAACAATTTGGAATTTATGTCTGCAGACAATGAAGAGAAGGGGAAAGAACCTTTGGTTGGGGTACTTGACTTACTAAGGTAGGACTCCTGGGACATGCCTAGAGAAGAGGCGCAACTGAGACGCTTAGCCTCTCGTGGGCTAGCCTGCCGCTTTGAGGACAGCGCTCGTCAGGGTGGGCGGGTGGACAAGTTACAGAGACTTGAAGCGGGGTGATGATGCAGCTGCTCATAAAAAAAATGACCAAAACTTCCAGCAGCAGACCCAGCGGCGACATGCCAGCGCAGACGCAGAGACACGCGCGGCTTTCACAAACGACACGACGCCCCTACCTCGCACGCCTGACAAGGACACACCGATACACCGACAGGCGCATGCGTTCCTGTTCGGGAAACCAAAAAGTGAGAACTTTTCACAAAAACTCAAGGGTAAAATTACCCAACTGCCGTCCACGACAAGGCGCGCTCTTTCTGCCGCCGAAAAAAAAAGGCCGGTGCGGGGTACGAGAGACAATGCCGGGTAGATGCGATGGATGACGGGTGGATGGCTCACCCAGCGTGTGTTCGCCTCTTGCAGCAGAGCTATCCGATTCCGCTGCCTGCTTGCCGCCGCCGCTGCCGCCTATGACACCTGCTGCTGTCGCTGCCGCGGTTGCTGCCGAACCGAGGGCGCTTGCCCCTGCCAAACCGAGAGAGAGCAACTTATCCCTCTTCCTCTGAGGGCCTTCCGACATCGTGAAAACCCTCTTCTCCCTTTTCAGCCGTTAGACGAAGAAGGTGGTTGACGGCGTAACGGCTAAAACAAGGCGAAAAAAGCGTGCTGGGAGAGAGACCCGGATAGCACAGAAAGGAATGAGCCACACAACCACGCAGGAGGGCAAAGGTTGCTCGAGGAACAGCCGAAACCCGAACACCGAACCAAGTTTACCACAGCAGCTTGCTGTTCTTGGTGTTGTCTGACATGCATTTTCATGCATCGGTTCCTCGTCAGGCGCGCCCCCTGTACCCCCCCCCCCCTTCCCCAACCTTCAACTTGTGATTTGTATGAATTTTACATATTGCTCGATACTTCGGGTGGCTCAGTCTGGGTGCTGCGAGTGTAGAGCAGGTCGGCCATGACGGACCGTAGATGGGCGAAACTCGTCTTGTGTTGATCGGGGGGGTGCTTGAGCTCGCCAATCGATCGCGGCATCCAAGTCTCGCATGACGCTCAAACAAGAGAACCTCCTGAATCTTATGAATGTCCACCATTCCATCGTCACACTCTCCCAAGGAAAATGCAAATTCCCATTCCTCTGCACCTCGTCACTACCATTGTACATATGCATGGTAGATGTACTCAAGTTTATCACCCGTCACACCAGTGATACCATGCTATACAGCTTGTGCTTGCTGCTGCTAGAGCAAAGAGCAACAAATAGCGCGCTGTTTGTATGAAACGGAATGGAGCCGGGCAGCCCGTGGTCGGTGTACTGCAAGATATACCCGCCCAAGATGGTATCCTTAGGCGAAAGGCTCAAAAGGTTCAAAACACCCCTTACACAGCCCACCCTGCCCTGAGGGGACGTACACATACATACATACATACGCAGATCCTGCATCCTACATTATTATTAGAATCCGAAGAAGAAGCAATCAATATTTGTACCGCAGTAGAGCGCCCCCGTCTCCCCTTCTCCCCGCTTTCACTCTCCAACATGTACAGTATGCGCGGCACACAACAGACACCTTTACAGTAGACCACAGCCAACCGCACACGCTCATCAGGGATATACTCATGTCGCCCCCCCCAAAATCACACACATTTTCCATCACGATGGTACAAATGAATAGCGATACAACGCGCACCAACTGGCATATCACAATTCCAAGGCATAAGAGTGTCTGGCCGTCCAATCTTGGGTCTTCTGTAAACAACGAGGCTCTCCCAACAGGAGGGTCGAGCTCATCATCACGTTTATCACGGATAATGGTCTGTGCTGCACGAGAACAGTTCAAAGAGCACGACCACCACTGACTGACTCTCCTCCAAACCTACTCATCATCGCCTTTTGCCTTCATTGCAACTTCCGTCGGGTAGGCAGCCAACAACCCGCAACCCAACCGGCTCCCTCCCCCTCTGCCCATCACACGCAAGCAACTCTTGACCCTCTTCACCGCCCACAACGATTCACCGCGACCAACAACGTTGTGCCAAAAACATACAAACACGGCACACCGGGGCCCAATTCTCTACACCCATGGCAACACCCACACACACACACCCCATCGCATCATCATCGACGAAGCCGTACCCGACCAACCTCCCCCGCGCAAAATATTTACAACGTGCTGCGGTTCGAGACAATCGCAGACTGCAGCGCACACAGGGGCACACCCACTTGCGAACTCCCGAGGAAAAAGTAACAAAAACCCGCAACCAACGGCCGTCTCTTGCCACCGCCCGTGGTTTACCTTTCAGCAGGAGAATCGACTCGATCCTCTCTTACCCCAAAATCCCCATAAAAACGCTCCAACTCCGTGGTGTCCAAACATCTTCCCATACGGCCCGCTTGCTAGCTGTCCTCCGTACTACAGACGAAGGTTGTGTTTACGTCTTTACAATGGTGAGCGGCTGCACACGAACGGATGAGGTACGTACGTACTGTAGTTTCTCCGCTCGAGTGAGTCGCCACCAATGTCGACCTGCAGTGTCCAATCATGCCTTCCATACCCGGTGTGCCGTTTCATCGATCAACCTGTGTTCCATTCACGATGCGATCCAATCACCCCAACAAGCCACGTCGCCCCTTCCCCCCGTTATACCTCGTCTCGAGGAGGCGCCCGAGTTAAAGGTGCGCAACCACAACGCAATACTGGACCCTTTGCTGAAGGAATACTGGATTTTTCTTTATCTCTCTCTCTCTCTCTCTCTCTCTCTCTCTCTCTCTCTCTCTCTCTCTCTCTCTCTCTCTCTCTCTCTCTCTCTGGTGCACAGCCGTAAGGGGGCGACGCCAACGCCAACCACAAATACAAACGCGCCCCCCCCCAAGTCTCCTCGTCCACCATCACGCCCCCTCCCCGACAACGCCTCCACCACCAATGCCGGCCGAGATGGTGCTACCCGCCTTGGCCTCCCTCCTGACACTGTAC